TTTCATGCTAAAGTGCCTATAGAATGCATGACTTGTACTGCCAGATTAAAGAGATCAATTGACAAAATCCTTAATAGGCTAATTCCCATGAGTTCATATTGAATGTCACAAGTAAATCATATGACAATTGTTTATCCACAGGTGATTTTTTTGTTGATTATTTCCAGTTTAAGTAAATATGAGTTTTAAAGGAATGACCTTTATAACTCTTGAAATTTCAAAGGTCATCGGTTTTTTCCTGTTGGAGGCACAACTGACAGATACTTAAACAAGCATAGAACACGCAACAAGCATAAAATATTTCTAGGATTTTTTTGCTGATCTTGCAGGTTTTCTTTGTCAATCATGATACAAAGAAAGTACACAGATAAAAAGAGAAAGAAAATAAACTGCTCTATAAAAATTTACTGCCTTGAGTCCCATATAAAACTCCACACTCCCACTTCATACTCTGACCCACTAAAAATAAACATTTAAAAATCCTGGAAAATTGACCATGTACCTTCATACTGTATTACTAACAAGTAATAAAATGGAAAATATCATTTTTTATTCCTTTTCCATGTCCTGCTGCTTTAATAGACAATTGCAAATTATTTCCCAACAGAAATTTCAGTCCAATAAATGCAAAACATTTGCCCACCACAACTCATAACAACAACCAACCACAAAATATAACTTAGAAACATTTTCATAGTTTGTAATAACTAGGTAACATTATAATGTAACATAATCAGAAAATTAAACCTCTGTTTGAAGAATAGATTCCTCCATTTACCCTCTACTAAATCTGGTTTCTCATAATTATTCCTGAATAGACCATGGTGAAAAATCCATGTGACTTATCAAGATTAAAATCTTATAAGTATTTATTCCCACAGTGTATGATAATTCATACCACTTTGACCAATTACACTTTGACAACACAGTTGAAATGTTGACTTAAAAAATCGGATAGGTTAAGAATTCAATGAGACCATTTAGAAAATGTTTACAGACACTGGTCAATCGTGTGACTGTGAAAAATTCTGTACATGTCTGTTACGTTGTATATTCATGAATGAAAATATAATTTTATTACAACAAGGAATATGGAGCTGAACTCTGGTCACAAGGAACTTGTTACCAGTACTTATATCTCCTATGATTAAAACTATTTTCTATGACCACAGCTTAGGCTTCAAATAATGGTTTCTTCGAAAAGAATCACAAAGAAAATTAATCACACCATGTTTCCAAAATATATTCTCATATTTTACTTAATTTTGAGAAGTGAATTCTGGTAGAGTTCAACATCCTATTTCACTGTATTGCATGTATTCGTTTTAATTGAACTTATACTTTGTCAATCACGATCAAATCAAGATGACTTCAAAGACGATATGTTTATCTTTTACAGGATTTATTGTAACCTTTGACAATTTTAAAGGAAACGAAAAAGAGAAGCAAAACCACCACACCTATTGTAGGCCCATTAAGGATGGGAAGTCACGTACATTTCGGTTGAGTTTTCGGTTCGATCGATCCCGAGCGCTACTGAAGTGGTTTTCTTAGTTGTTTATAAAATTTCTCGAGAAAAAAGGATCGATAAACCTAAATTACCCCTCAAATGGATTTAAAACAGCACAATACGAAAAAAATAGAAGCAAATCGCCAACTAACATTAGATGACGTTATAGCAATACAAATTTTTTTATTTCGAACAAAGAGCTTCACTTGCCTGGGGTACGACGTCTTGTAGGAAGTTTACCACGCTTTCCACGTAGGACTTGTCGCTGAAAAAAAGTGAGATCAACATCATCTTAGCATTAAACGAGATTTATAACATCAAGCAAACCCAAAACATTCCGTCAAATGGTTAAAAACCTTATTGCTTGAGGTCGAACGACAATCCCACCACCGCGCGAAATTCGTCTTGCAACCGAGTCCACAGACATCATCTAGAGCTAAAGAAAGCTCTTGTCGATCTCCAGAACTGAAGATGAGGAAGCTAAGTAGCTTTCTGGTTCAATTTTGATTACGTTTCCATCGCCGTTTCTTCATATCGTCGCTTTGAACATCATTTTAGATGACCAAAACTCTGTTTTGGCGCCGCGTTACGTCAGAAAAAAACATTGTTTATCTGCCTCGTTATCAGTGTTTTGGGAAAGGCCTGGGAACAATTGTTGAGAAATGAGGATGAAATGTTCGAAACGCGAATGATTACCTGTTGTTTTCCAAATGATTATCAGTTTAAATTAAGACTCTTTTTGTCTCCTCTTAGCAAAATGAGCAAAATGAAAACAAAGTGTCAAATTAAATGATGCTATTTTTATCCGCGGGCGTTCCATACATATCCACAATCATTGTAACTGGCGGAATAGTAAAACATTTAAGACTTGAGCTGCATCTGGAATGCGTTAAGTTGAAAACTGGCATAAAATATTACAAAAACTAAAGATATCCGATTTTTTTTTCCAGTTTCGATTTGTGTTTCGTGCAGATTCCGCACAATAGGGTGCCTCTGTGACGTCAAAGTTTTCAACCCATTTCCGTGCTTGTGTTCAAATCTCTGAATTAATTTTGAATTTTTTATCAGGGCTGTGAACCCAATTTTTGAAAGAAAATAAAAAATCGCCACGTCAGTAATTATATTTGCCGAGTAATTTGCAATCATGTAAATATCATGTGAGTCTATCCGCCAACACAATAAAGAGCCCAGTTAGACAAAGAACTCCTAATCCATTTTGAATTGAATATGATGACACGGTCCAGATACCTTGAAAACTGACTTCGCTGATTGCGTACGTGAATGTTTTTTGTTTGTCTGTTTTTTTTCGCACTCGAGGGCTTTCCAAGTTGGGGAGCTCAGCCCCTTTTACCGCCAGGAGTGATTAGCACCTAATTTCTCCCCACGGTGTCATTCCTGAATCAAAATTTAGATCGTGAGAATAAAGAAAGTGATCGGCATCTACAGTCGCTCTAGTTTGTGAGAGAAATTTTCTTTGTCAGTGTCATAGGAAACGTGTAGAAAATAATGTGGAGAGTATGAACACTAACATTGGTTGGGGTGTAAAGGGAAGATAGATGAAGGTATTTGATGAGGGGGCCTAATAGAAAGAGGAGAAAAATCGGGCCTTATTAAAGGTTGATTCTCAGTATCGTGTTTCATAAACCTCGCGTAAATTTTCTTCTTTTGGGGGGGGAGGGGGAAGATAAACTTTTCTACTGGTCTGCCTTTGCGCAGTGATATAAATGCATTGCCTTTCTGCGGAGAATGTCGCTTTTCATGCTGAAGGCGGCTCTCAATTTTCCACAGATGCGGGTGATCATAGTTCATTTGGGTTCCAACTAATCTTCCTTACGCTTGGACATTGGATCCGTTCGGCAGTCATCGCACATAAACAAAGTGCGAATTTTTCCTTTTTTCTGCAAAAGATATCCTTTTTTTAAGCAATGTTCATGGGTTTTCGTGAACCTAGGATTCTATACCGTGGAACTGTTCTGTGACTCTGGACTGGAAAAATCTTCAACGGCCTTTTACAGTTTAAACAGGAAGATATGTTGAAATCATTGAATATCTCCCCATACTTAACAATAAGTTAAGTGATAGGAATTCACTCTTTTTTACAATGAGGAAACATGGTATGAAAAGTCATTTTCAGCTCTCTGGACGCAGCAAACATTGCTAAAAAAGATATTTGATAATACAGAACAAAGACGATAAACATGCCAAGTGTCTTTTCCAATTGTCCAATTCACCATTTATGGTAAAATCTAATCAATCCAGAAAGTGTATCCTGTAACATATTTGGGCGTAAGACAGGTTGGTTGCTTCGCTCGCTTATGGGTTATTGCCGAGAATAAATATATATTAAAGCGATTAAAACGTGCGTGGTACTATTTCATGTCCACGGCTTCTTCCTTGATCGCATTCTTCGTTGCTTCATTTTCTTTTCTTGCTTTTTTAGTAAAGCACTCTTAGGAAGGATTAGGAAGTCCTTGAGGACTGAGACGGTAGAACATTACTACGACACTTTAACTTAAGAAATATATATATATTTCTTTCCCTTATACCACATACCTATTAACATTATTTCATGCTAGGGAGAACATAGTTAGAATATTTTCAAATTCTATACATTTTCATTAACTATGATTACCTCGAAATACAAATTATCTACCTAAATTTTAGCTGAGGATTTAGTCAGGATGACTTTATATCAGAATAAATGATCTAATTTAATACTGATCCGGATACATTTTTACATATAATTGATGTTCAATATTTACATCCTACATGACCGAATCTGAGAATTTTCGACCAGCCATACACTATCAAAGTAATAAAACAGATGCTTACGTCGAAATAATGAAGATTTTTGTGTCCTTATTCAGTGACATTGTCGCGTATACCAGGTCTAAACAGAATTTGCAATCACTGAAAATTGAAGGAGAAAGATACTTCACTAATTCTCTTTACCTAAAGCCACAGTTCTATTATCATTATTAGTATTATTTGAAAACTATATAAACGAACCCGACGTTTCTACCTCCTCGAATACATTGCATGGGATCGTCTCTATTCTTGCAATGATCCTCGAAAAAAAGTGATGCTCGCATTATCATGTTTAGGAAAAATGATCACCGTTACCAAAAAAGCGGAGTCTTTTATAATCTCTATTTGCTGTTTCTTCTTAAACATAACCGAACCTCGATAAATTGACGGGTTCTCAGAATTGATTACGGTCTCGTACAAATTATTGTGGATATTTTCGCATCAAACGGAGGCAAATATTGGTATCTTAAGGCTTGCTCATGAATAACTAATACTTTCCTACCTACTGGTTGTTTTCCTGAGGGAGATTCTGGTGTAAATCACTTTGTGGTCAAATATCTAATTTCCATGGCCTTAAAGTTTTACAGTTTCCTCTTTTCTAATAAGTTTTGGGTCTATGAATTGTAACTTCTTCGGTTACATTCATTAAATCTGCAAACCAGCGTAGCTTCAAACTATGTCAAGTTTAAACATCCCTGCACGTTTTTTACATTGAATGCTTTGAAGTTCCAAAAATACAAACGCATTTATTGTGCTGAGGAAACCAAACAATTCAGGTATTTAGGTCGGAAATAGACTAGGTGTTTTCAAATCCTTCGTTACTTGCTCAAAAAGTTAAGAAAATATACAGTGGAATATTTGGCCAGAATCCCCCAAAAATTCGAACAACCTTGTGTCGATTTAACTATGTTCACAAGTTACCAAAGATATGAATAGAAATCTAAATTACTGACAGTGTATACAGGAATAAAAGATGCACGGGACTCCAGTGATATGAAAGTTTCTTTTGTAAGGAGGGAATGTCATCTTTCTGCACTCACAAAACCGGAGGTTTCTGTACGCTCCTTGTCATCTTTAATCCGTTTATACCGCCGTGCATCACGATCCATGCTACCAGCACTGTGGAGATCACGTGCTCTTGAATTCTGCTGTCAAAAGTAAGACGGTATTTAGCTAAGAATCACAAACAATATTGAAAAACTTCTATTGGTGATGAAGCTGTGAATAAGTAATTAACATTCACTCCTGAATTGAGTGCCACGTCCTTCCATTAGCTGTTTTGTTTCATCCCCAAAAGCCCTCCTCATCATCTACAGTTCTTGTTACTCTTAATTTCATTCTGCCACTTATACATGTAGTTAAAACAATGTTTACTAGTTTTGATGATTTATTATTGGCCATACAATATTTTATCTGAAGACTGAAAAGAAGCAAAGAGGTATCATAGAGCATCTTTAGATAATAAGGAAACACACATTTCAAAGTAATCCATATGTCAAACACATGGATTGACTGTGAGTTTATTAATTCATGAATACAATTAAATGAGTATTTAAACAATTGAACAAATACTGGCCGTGACTCATCTACTTAACCCTTTAAACCCTGAGAGTGACCAGCATCTAATTTCTCCTTAAAGTAATACAGCAGAATCATTCATTAAGACCATGAGAATAAAGGGAATGATTACCGACCAAAAAAGCTTTGACTGTTAAATGAATTCTCCTTGGCAGTACCAGAGGAAATGTATGGAAAAGAGTAACGAGAATGTGGATACTGATGTTAGGGTGTAAAAGCTTAATAAGAAGTTCCATCAAGAGTTAATGGTCAATGTACCTTTCTAAGAACATACAGGTAATTGGGGCTTGATCCAGGTTTAGAGTTCATCTGATTGCTCTATAAGTTGCTGTTCCCATGGGCACATAAAATAAATAGCGTAGAAAGGAAAGTTGTTGGAAAAAAATCCTTCTCTTGATTGAAATCAAACATTGTTGGTGTTGAATTTGGACTCATAGATATCAATCCAAAGAGCATGGAATACTTTCTACACAATGTTTAAAAAGGTTACCCTGACTTCTGTCAACTTTTTACAGGTCATAAATATTTGGATACCACAAAATACCCAAACTGCCACTTCAGAATATGACAAGAAAAAAGTTTGTGGTAAAATCCATATACACTTTGATGCAGTTTGCAATAATTGTTCCTCTATTAAATATTAACTGGATGCCGGTTAAATGCCTAAAGTTTTCTAAGCACAACAGTGACTATTGCTTACATTAATTAATGACCTGTTTGCTGGATAATGTTTAGATGTTATAGGGAGAAGTTACTTGTTCATCACTTCTGGGAGTTAAAGGGTTTCACAGAACATTTTGAATTACCTGTTCACTTTCAGGTTCAGAGTCTGTATCAGTATCAACCATCAAATACTTTTTCTCTCTGTAAAAGTACTTCTTCTGCAGCACATACAGCACTACAATGTCACACAAAACTGTAGCCTACAATGGCAGAAACAAGGTGTGATGAAATTTCATTTCATAACAAAACATGTACATGATGTGGCTTACATTTGTTATGCTTGCCCAAATATGTTATTTCTGATACCCCTAATTTAACTGCAATACCTCTATATATTTCCTTGAAATATCCTTCACTCAATTAACTGCCTGCCATAAAAACTTGCCCTCCATTGGTGAAATGTTTGACTTATCCAACTCCTCTTTTTACCAACCTCTCCATTAGCACCCAATCCCACTCTTCTTACATTCACCATACACTCTCCTCTTAATCAAGTCAAGATCTCATAAAACAGATCCCAGATTTTATTTACATACACAAAAATGTCAGTTGAAAGGGTTCCAATAATGATCACATAGTTTACTCTTACCTACCTACATTCCTTCCAGTTTTTGCAAAATTTGAAAAAAAAAATTTAAACTTGTTGTCCCCCTAGATGAATCAGTGTTCCCCACAAAGTCATCCCTTTACGTCAAAATGCAAGACAATCCTTGTTATGTTTATTATCTGTAAAGTTTATCATTTTAGAACAAATATGTTACTTGCAAGTTACTGTAGAAGTACTACCTGGTTTACTGGTACTTACAATGCCAAGCAGGGCAAGACCTGAACCCAAATTAAGAAACAGTGGAATTGCACTAAACTTTCCTCCCTGCAGAAATGAGAAAATAACTCAATACCTGCATACCACAAACTAATAAGCTCATAGCTTAAATTACAGAGAATTTCATTTCTACACTTTGGACATTACCTCTCCATACACCATGATCATGAAGCGTATTCCATAGGCCTTGAACAAAGTCCTGTGTAGGACATTGTCTTGAACATAATAATTAGCATATCTGAAACAAAGTTGACATAAGTCATTGGACTTGAACTAACCAAGGATACAGTAAATAACTGATAACTAAAAGCAATCTGCTAATCATATTATTTATTTACAAGTTCAGTAAACCCCTGGCTAAGCTTCAAGCTTCAGTATCAGTTGTAGCTGCAAAAAACATCATTTTTCCTTTCGTAATTAGAATTTATGTTCTGGGAAACTGTAAAAAATTTAAGTCTTCACAAACTGACTTTGAACATTACTGGCCATCTTAAAAATAGGCCTGCTCTTTTTGCCATGTATAAAATATTGATTCTAGCCAAGAATATCTAAAGAGTTCTGCCAAGAGAAGGCTTAAATTATGATGGACTGGCATCCAACAAGACAGAGTTACTAAAATTATATCACATGATGCAAGGGAAGTAATGACAATGTTCTCCATTTCAAACAGAGACACACGAAAAGTAGTCACTAGTTAATACACATACCTGAAATTATAACCAGGTGCAATTGGTGATTTAGAGTCATCCAATCTAGAGGTAGGAAAACCATTCAGTTATATATCTAACTTAAACCAAAAGTAAGGTACACCTCAGCAACTTTTAAGGTAAAAAAAAAAAGTTCAATACAAACCATGGCTGCAGAAATGGTTCCCAAATAATCATCTGTCATTGTTTCCTTAACTGACATTTAATTTATTGATTAACATTTGACTTTATAATTGACCACATGATTGACATATTGATGACATAATCACTAAGTAAGTTGATCTTCAGTTCAAAGTAATGACATGTTCTTATAAAAGTGTTCTGAAACTAGTGTGTTTCTGCTTGATCTGCTGACCCGTTTTGCTGACCCCTTTTGCTAGCCTGTTATGTCTACTGGAATAGTTTTGATTGGATAGCACCACAGAAGTAAGTAATTTTTTAAGAAACAAGTTGCTTATGGCCAGCAATTTCAAGAATTGCTTGCTATTAGGTTTCTGATGAATCATGTGTTAATTCTCATTGAATAGATTAAAGATCATATGATTATGTGTCCAATTATTATCTGAGAACCATTTTTCCCTGAACTAGCCATATATATTTCATATCATATATCATAAGCTCAAAGATAATATGTACTTATTAACTAAGTAGGCAGCTGGGTAGGTACATATTTGGTTGCAGGTCATAACATACAGTCAGAGAACAGTGAAAGCTGTGGTTCAAGACTATATGTCAAATATATTCTCCCAAGCCTGACCTAACTCAGACAATAAGCCTTTTATCATGTGACTACCAATCTTTCTTATTCTGTCTTTCTTCTCCCAGCTTTCATCTTATTGGGTCACATGGCTTATTCCAGCCCTGCTTAAACCATCACATATAATTCTCACATGGGGATTTTTCTACAGTGATTTTCAATTAAAGAGTAAACACACCCATCTGTCTGGTGTGATAAAGATATTTATTTCCTTACTAACATGATAAGAAGCTTCCATTATAATACATGCTGTGTAAACTATAGCATAAAAAAACTAAAATTGGATGCATTCCAAATAGAAAAATTTTAAATCAATTACCTCCTGAATGAATACTTAGGTTCACAGAAATATGCCAAAGGGTCAAAATTACAGTTCCATGTTATGACTATGGCAATGACCCCACCCTAAAAAGAAAAGGAAAAGAAAAAACAAGGATTGCAGGTGTTTATTGAATTGAAAGAAAAGCAAAGCGAGGATGTGAATATCAGGGGCTCTTTATAAGTGGAAGGGAACCCAGAGAAGAATGCAAAAACCAAAACTTGAAGTGAAATTTTTCTCTCTTATTTGAAATCATGGTTGATCAATGCACAATCTGTCTGTAACCTGGACCTTATTTTTTACATAAAGTAAGAGACCTCACTCAACAAATTCCCCAATTACATCCACAAGACATACCTTGAAAGCAATATCTTCAAAGTTCACACCTGCCAATTCAACCATTTTTCCGAGCTTGAAAATTGGACAAAGATGATCAGTTTGTGGGTCATAATTACAGTTCTTCAAGTAACTTTCATCTTCTGTCATGATGTTTCTCCTAAATCAGCCAAGAGTACAGAAACAAAGACATTATAACTCAACAATAACTCCTTTTGTACCACTAATTCAAGATTATCTATTTCACTTATGGGATACTTACCGTGATTTGTTAAACTTTGGAAACTGTACACTGTTCTTTATGAGAAGGGTGAAATCCTTGGCAGCATCAAGAAGTGGAACAGTGTTACTATGGAAGAAATTTATATTGTTAATGCAACCTTAAGTTTATGAGGTATGCCATGACTTAAACACAATGACTTGTAACTACTCTTACTTCTCATAAAGGTTTGTTTAACACACCTTAAGTTGTACCCTGGCATGGGAAGCTTGTCAATCTCCACTGGACACCATGCATAAATTTCACAAACTTTACCAAAGGGCTTTCTATCAGCATCTACACATTTTCCAGTCTTGACACCTTTTTGCGAAAAATGAAGGAAACCATAACACAATGTAAATTTTATATTTATCACAACACAGGATCTACATGATCCAAGTGCTAAATTCTCTTCCTTAAGTCTGCAAGTTTCTTTTTATAACAGTTATTTACTGGTATAAGGACACTGTTTCCTAGTTTGTTATTCATTATTATCCATAATTAACTGGTTGGTTTGGTTTTTGAGAGATTCTTGGGAGGTTCTTCTCAAAAGGGTCCCTTTAGTCTAGTTTCAGTTTCATGAACGGGTGAAAACATTTATCATTGAGGCACCCCAAAGGCATTTGCTAAAATCTAATTCAAAAAGGGTTTAACAAAGGAATGTAGTGTTCTTAACCCTTTAACTCTCAGAAGTGACTAACATGTAACTTCTCCCTATGATAACTATACATTTTCTAGCAAATGATCAATGAGAATACTAAAACTTATCAGGAGGAAGTTTTTATCTTGATCTTACACCAAATTCTTATGACTAATTTACAAGGAATGGTGTAACAGCAAGAGCAGAGAATTAGCAATCAGGTTTTGGGAGTTAAAGGATTAAATAATAAGAATTATACTTCGAAATGAACACCAAAGGGTAAACTTCATGGCTTACCATTGCCATTTTTGACTGGTTCAAATGGTGTACAATCACTGTCACTTTTGCATCTCACATCTGGAAAGTTTGGGTCCTCAGGACATGTGGACTGATTTTGGTTAGGTGAGATAATCATGTTTGTCATGACAAACACAACATTATTTTCCTTTATATGAATAGAAAAAAATAATATACAAGTGAGTGTGACCCTTCAGTATTGTTCCACCCAAGCTAAATGCTAGTCACCAATTCTAGTTGGCAACTTTTGGTTAAAAATTGCTCACCAAAACTTTTTTCAACTCTTCATGGCACCCAATATTGCTGCTGTAGATTGGAGCACTGTCTATTTCAAATTGCAGAGCATATAGAAAACACTGTCTCCTTCAATGATAAAAATGTAATTTATTGATTCATAGTATAGTAATAGAAGGTAAAGAAAGAGCCTGAAACGTTTTAGTATACCTCTGGGGGTATCACAAAGTCAGATGAGTCCCAAACATGAAATCCACCGTACAGAAAGAGTTCCATGCTCTTGTTTGTTAAGTTTGTGAATGACAATCCCTTGACTTTTGTGGTCACTGAACTGTATGGCTTCTGAGACTCTTGGTACCCCTTCTTGTAAACAATCACATATCTGCAAGTTTTAAAAGCATCAGAAAACATACCATTCTTTTGTAGATTAATTGAATTGTTCATCATTGTAAATAAGAAATGTAACCATTATCTATCATAAAAAAAATTAAGGAATTTATTAGGGTTAAGGGAATGATTTTGGAATCTTTTCAGAGCGCTGCAGTCTTTTCACGAGGAAGCATATGCATGCAACCTTGTACTTAGATTTTGAAGCGGAAATTCATCTGCACTCATGCAGACGAGGATAAGTGAATCTCTTAATATTACACCTGCATTTTCAAATACACCTTTCTTACTCTGGTTTTTAATAAATATAATAAAACCCACAAATCTTTCACAGCGAAAGTCAGTGAAGAATGAAATAAAAAAAATAAAAATTAAAAAATTATTCATTACAGTTTCGTCAGAATTTGATGCTCAAACGAGCACCAGAGTCACGCTAAGGCTTACAGGGCCACTTTTTCATTGGAATTAATAGGAATATGACTATGTAACTCAGATACATTGGCTACAAAGTGACATAACGATCTCCGAGTTTAGCAATAGCGCTGAGTAACATACTTGAAAATTTGCTTAATTTGTGATATTCCATGGAAACAGCTGGATCTCGCATGCATGTGTGAGAAATCGGTACGAATACTTACCCTATAACGTAAACAATAATAACCAGTTGTATCAAGCGATTAATAACTCCAACCTTCTTGCTTTTTATATGCACTATCTTGGCTGTATCGTACTCGAAAACCGCCGCTAGTACGGTGTCACACACCTGCCCGCAAGTAACCATTTTGGCTTCGAACTACGAACAACAATGCAATTGTGGTGTAACAGAACACCAACATTCCCGTGGGAGATCTCAGTATCAGTATCCCGTTACGAGCTAATCAAGAATGGCGGTCGATCTCATGGTGACCTAACCGTAATTTGAAGTTAAGAGACCCAAAGGTTCTTCAATACTTGATTACTTGAGAAAATTTGCAACGCATTTTTGTCATTAACTGTAGTGCAATGCTATAATTATTTTCGTAGACGATTATTTGTACGAAATTCTTCAATTCCCCTTAAAACGAGGGTAGTTGGAGAATAATAATAATAGGTAAAGCCTTAAAAATAAACTACTTCATTTATTTGAAAAGCTGAGATTTGCATGTGAGGCAAACTTGGAACTTGAGAATACTCAGAGAAAATCAAAAGTTGAGGTTAAGTAGAGGCAACCAATTGAATATTGAAACAATGAATTGGAATTTGTCCTAAAATTTCAACATTGATAACATAAAAATTAAAGTAATAACATTTGTTTATTAGAAATTGTTATAAATCTTGGCCTGTTCTGTTTTTTTTTTGTTTGTTTTTTTTTTCACTTTCGAAGATTCAAGAGGAAAATTTCACTTTGATTATTGCAAAGTCCTTCCAGTCCTTCCAGCAAGGTGTATTCCCAACATTTGGAAGACTGCAAAAGTAACAGCTTTACCCAAAGGCAAAGACAACACTTTGTGTGATAATTTTCGACCTATATCTCTTTTGCCCTGTCTTCCTAAGGTCATGGAGAAATTTGCAAACAATCAGTTACAAGCCTTTGCTTTGGAACACAACCTAATAAGCAGAGAACAGTTTGCCTACCAAAAGAATTCCTCATGTACTACAGCTCTAGTTACTCTTATAGATAAGTGGAAATGGGCCATAGACAAGAAACAGATTAACATTGCTACATTTTTGGATCTCAAAAAAGCTTTCGACATAATAAACCACAAAATTCTTTTGTCAAAGCTTAAAGTTGCTGATATTGAAGGCCATAGTGGTTTATGGTTAGAAAATTATCTTCTGGACAGGAAGCAATTTGTCACCTTGAATGGTGCATAATCTGAGACTCTTACATTAGATTATGGAGTACCCCAATAGTGTAGTGTATTGGGTCCAACTTTATTTTCTATACACTACTATGATATTGTTAAATCGTGTAAAAATGGAGATGCCTCTCTATTTGCTGATGATACCGAAATCCATACAGCCCATTCGGAAGTAGAAGTGGCTGCACAACTTTTGAACTCTGATTTAAAAGATATCAATGATTGGCTATCTAACAATGAGATGGTAGTCCACCCTGTTAAATCAGAGGCCATGAAGATTGGAACTAAACAAGCTTTAAAAAAAGCAGATGGTACTGAAATCAAATTAAATGACCACAAACTTAAAGAAGTATCATATTGTAAGTACCTTGGAGTGTTTGTAGACAGTTCACTAAATTAGTCACCTCACATTGATCATATTTGCAAACGAACTTATCCCAAACTGAGGCTGTTAAACCAGCTATCTTGTTTCCTCTGTTCTGATGTATTAATTAAGATCTACAAGGCTACTATCCTTCCTATTCTGGATTATGCTTGTATTGTATGGATGGACTGTCCAAAGAATTTGTCCAAAAAGTTGGAAAGACTTCAAAATCAAGCCTTAAGAATTATTTTCTGCAAGAATAGGAGAACATGTTCACAAGTTTTAAGGGACCAAGTAAAGATCTTGATTCTATTCAACCGTAGACGTTTGTTTCGATTTATAACTACATTTAAAATAGTGAATGATATTTACTGTCCAAAGCAACTCCAAGACAAACTTATGAAACGTTCTAGTATTCGCTCTCGCTCTTTGAGAGATGACTCTTTACTAAATGTTCCTAATGCTAAGTCGGGGTTTGGTGAAAAAACTTTTGAATTCGCTGCTGTAAGAGACTGGAACTCTCTACCTAGGGATATCAGAACTATAACAAATCTCAGCACCTTTAAAAGTAAACTCTTTGAATTTTTATTACAAGAGGATCACGATTATTTATTCTTATAATTTCTTATTTTTACTATTTTGTATCATGATACTTTTAGTCCTTTTTTATGTATTTATAATAATTTATTATATACAGATTTTATACTATATATATGCACATGGGTTAATACCAGATGGTCTTTTAAGTCTATCTGATCCATTATTTTGCATTTCAAATAAAGCTTGTCAATATTATTATTATTATTATTATTGCTGTGAATCGCTTGGATTGTTTACAACTTTATGTGAAACAAGAGCCGTGCGTACAGTTTATTCATTGGCTGATTGATTGGATTCAGTTATCTTACATAAAAATAATTTGGTTTTAACAACTGAGTTGCGAATGCAAATGGGCCACCTAAAAGAGTTTCTAAAGCTGACGTGTCAAGCGTTAGCCAGAGCGAAAGGCTGAAGCTTGAGACATCAGCTTTTGATACTCTGCGGGGGCCAATCAGTTGATAAAACCAAGTTATCATGTACTACCTTTGACCGACGCAGTACCACAGTTTCCTTAAAAACTTTCCCCCTTATTCTTATAGCAACATTTGCGGCTGGATCAATAATTGTAACACCTCTTTTAACGAAAGTAATCTTGCGCATTTCTGTCATTTCTGTGGAATTCATTGCCGCATATCTAAAATTTCAATCGGTCAAAAGAAACCCTGCTGTCTCACAAAATACGCTCTGATAAATATCTTTCCGAGACAGAAAACTTAGAAATTTAATGTTATCAGATGCAAATGCGAGAAAACGCTGAAAATATAAGATCATCGCGTTACAATGTAATATCACTGAGCGTCTGTGAGGCAAAACGTAACATACGAATGGAAAACACCCCAGGTTACAAGCCATAGGATATTCTTTAATTTTTGCCATAGTGTCTCCCACGTTTTTAAGAGTATCAGGCCCAGTCAGTTTTTGTTATGATGTTTGGCTGGAAAATTCTGCATCTCTCTCTGACTCTCAACAATTTAATTTGAACCCTGTCTTCCTCCCTTTGATGATTTAGTTGTCAGCAACCTGTTTCATTTTTCCATGTTCAATCAATTGTTTTCTTCACTAACATCCTGAGTAATGTCTACATTTGATCGCAAATGACGTAACTTTACCCGTCAAGATAGAAGCTGACCACGCCTGTTTTGTTTTCTCTGAGATTTCGGTCTTTTGTCCTTTTCCATTTGGTTGAATAATCACCGTCATTAACGTCTCACAATTGTTACAGTAGGCTTTGGCGCTATCGTCTGCTATCTTTGGTTTCATACAATTTATGTGTCGAATTTGAATGCCATATCACCAGATATTTCGGTTTCAAGAAATTTCCATTGCCCCCTACCAAGCGTTCTCTGAAGTCAACGACCACTCATAGCCATGCTTCGAGAACAGGCTTGACCAATAGAACCACCCCACGTAAGCAGAAACGAACTAAATATTTACTCTCTGAAATAGTACAGCCCTATTATCGTTGTAGCCTTACAGCACTGTGTGGCACGTGAGGAAGTTCCCTAACTAAACTAAATATATTGATTTTCCTTCTATGGCATCCCCCCGGAGAGGCATTGATATATTTCCTCCCTGGTACTACACTGTCTCCGAAGAAACTTTTATTAGAGGTGAGAACGTTTTCAAAGCTTTAACCAGCTACGTTTCAGTTTCTATCACGAGGTCCAACGTGGTTGAGGGGTTTTACATATTTTGCCACCAATTTCTTCTAATATTTCGCATTTTTGTCGTTAAATGCAAGTCAAAACCTATTTTTAACACTGTAAAGGACTGAAGGATGTATATCATGACTCGAAATTTCATAGGATAGCCGTAAATCTGCGAAGATCTGCAACGTTTTCGACAAATTTTTTTTCATAACACTTGTTTTCCCGCGCGCGGGTTCTTGCTAATCGAATTCCTTCCCGTAATACTTTGCGCTGGTGGTGATTCGCTTTGAAGAAATGGCGCCACTGAGAGAAAGTCATCCATAAGTTTTACTTTTTCATCTGTGTTATACCTCATCGATGTTTGCGGACTTGAACTATTCTAGTTATGGTACCATAAATTTCAGTTGCTATCGTCAAATCTGTTTTTAACGTGTCACATGAATCCGGTCATGTGAGTTAGCATAATTTTCCTATTGTGCAAGAAGAAGTCGTGCAGAGGTTCTTAAACGATCGATCGATTTATGCTCTCGGTTTAGTCGATCACAAAATGTTCCACACTACTTTGTGCCCGAAAGGCTGTGATATCGTACACCACGATGTGATCATTGCTCTTCAAGGTCTCGCTCCACGCATAAACTCGTCGCAGAATGCAGCGCCATTCAGTCCAACCAGGGCCACCCGTGGTAATAATAAAGAAGACTTCAGAAAACAGGTCGAGAGACTAATTTCCGGCGGCTGGAAGAAGAACAGGAACGTCCCAGAGGATGGAAAAGAGTTGCAGTTGCCACTGCTTCACCTGGTAAGCATGTTTGGAAAGTATGAGGCAGTTGAATGGTTGTTAAACGAAGAAGACTTCGACGCAACCCTTAGAACCTCCACAACCAATGAGACTGCACTGCATTTGGTAGCTCGTCACCTTTACAAGGCACTGTCAGCTCGTGAATCAAGGCTGGAGAACATGACTGCCACTGCTAAAGCGGTCAATTTTGAGAAAGTAGCTGTACTTCTCGTCAGGAAAGAAGTGAGCCTTTTCTGGGCAAAAGATGGCTTGAATAGGGAGACAGCTTTTCATATTCTTGGAAATTGTCTGGTTAAAGCTACTTTCCTGAATAAAGACTTAAAAGAAGAAGATCGGTGCTTGGTATTCTACTCAAAGAGTATTACTGCCATGTTTAAACTTCTACTGGCAGCAAAACGCTTAACAACAAGGGATATTGTAAAGGCACTAAGCGTTAGAAATGGTGATGGCGATAGCTCTTTACACATAATTGCCAGGGCAGGAGTACATGGCTACAAACTGCTCAAATACCTGGTGAAGTCTCTGGGGTCTGCTGATATCATGAAAGTAAAGAATAGTAAACATCGGACTGTGCTAGATATCGTGAATGAATGTTATCCTGGTCATGAAAAGGAGTTGCTTGCTATTGAGGAAGGTGAGGCTGTCATCCTTAAGAGGTGTTGGCAACCAAACTTGTATTTTGACAAGTTTTCTTTTACATTAGTCAGGACTAACATAACAATGGGATAGATAGTTTAGTAGGTAGATGGATAACTTAATTTAATGTGGATGAAACAGTCCTAGTTTTTCCTTAAAAAATGCCAATAAGAAAGAAACATGAACAAGAAAGCTAAGTGATTTTGGTCAAGC